TAATATGGGAAAAAATTAGCACAATAACTGCATTTAAATTCAAGTTAATATGTAAATTATAGATTTGAAATTCAAGTATTATATTTCATTGTTCATTTTTATTTGTTGTTAGATTTAGATTAAATAATTATGACTTTAGAAATTTTAAAATTGTAATATTGTTGATAAAGGGTTAAGTAAACCGTTACATAAGATTAATTATTTTAAAATATATATATAGTCTTACAAAACCATGTTTGACTAAGAGGGCAGTGAGTCACTTCAATTGCCGCTCTAATTGATCGCTGAGAAAAACGTTAAACATATCAATGAAAGGGAATTGTTCAATTTTGGCTTTTGGTGGACAAGCAAATTTGTAAAAACTATGTAAACAGTAAAATATTATTAAAACTGAAAAAAATATTTTTTATACTCTCGTCATGGGAAACTAAACATTAAAAATATTATTTTTAAAAGTATTTTTTGGATTCGGATGTGTTTTGTTAACATGTTTCACTGTGTTTCCATATCAATAAATGTTATTGAAGTACTATTACTAATAGTATCGATTAATCGATACCGTTTAACTTTAATACAAATGAAAGTAATTAAAGTATATATATATATATATATATTAATGCATATACAGTAGGTGATATTTTGCAAAATCATGTATCAAATATATTAAAAACATAACAAATAGGTAATCCTTTTCGGTTAGATATAAGTTAATTTACACTAACAATCGATTACTTTCTAATCGATTAATGATTTTTATATGGCAGCACCATTTCACTTTGTCAACAAACAAATACGTTTGAGTGATAATTCTTATTAAAATGATTGTTTATATAAAATAATTCCTTAAATAACGTATTAATATCGTTTGACGTGTTGTTTTTGGTAAATCCATGTAGAAAGATAGAATTGGTAATTCAAAATTGTTTGGTTTAATGAATGTATTTAAATCGTGTAATGGTCTCCTACGTGAATATCGTCGGCAGCTTTGTATAAATTGTGAAAGATCTATATTACGTACTAGATCACATCTACTGCAAACAATATCCGACAGAGAAACTCACATTGAAAATGAAATTATTGATTGGATATTCCCACGACAGGTAGGATTATAGTTATTTTTATTTATTGTGATTACTATAATTAAACTTCCTTTATGACATGTAAAACATTAATATATCGCTACCATATCATTTAAGTAACATTTTGTTGACAAATAATTTAATTATATATTATACTCTTAGGTGCATGGATCTGATCGCATCTGTCATCCATGTTGGCAGCAAGCAGATAGAGACAGTTCCTTCTAATATTCCAAAACCTATACAGAACATTACCTTACCGGATTTTAAAAGAGCATCTGATTCACAAGCATTATGTTTTGTTCCGGGTTGAGACTCACCACAGCAACTGACAGTTCCCAGATGGCTTCAGGTAAAATTGTTTTTTGATTTTAACTTTTATGTACCAAAAACCAGTAGACTGTGTAATTCTCATTTATATTATAATAATTGGTCTGAATGGTTGTCTATCATGCAAACTATTCATACAATTACTACAGAACTATTATTTGTAAAAAAGAAATCTTACAATGGATTTTAACAATATTGAAGGAATGACTGAAGACATTGTGCACTTTTGAAGGTCTATCTAAACAGGAGTTCCTTCAGTTAAAATTAAATTGATTTTAAAAATTCTTTTGCTTTGGGAAGCTACATCTTTCATCAGGATGATATACTATTAACTAGTTGTTCAATATTTAATGTTAATTTATTATTAAGTAGTTATGTGCAAATGTACTGAATAGGTGTTTTAAAATAGTCCTTTCTGTTAATAGGCGCAGATGTAAATGTGAGTCTAAGTCGCTCCAAGCCGAAGAGTTGTGCTTGAGGGTGAGCACAAATCAGGAGAATAGTCTTGTTTGAGGGAGAGCACGCGTCAGGAGAGGCCAAAGATTCTCAAAGGAAAATTCAAAGATTAGGATGTCATGTGACCAACTTATATGAATGTAGCTGCTTTTATGACTGCCCAAATGCCAGCCTCCAGCTGAAGAGAAACTGTATGAGCAGTGTAATTTATTTATTAAGTGATTATGTAAAGTCCTTTCTTATAAATAAATGTATTTAGAAGTACTGTCTTTTGCTTGTAGAATTGTATTGTCAAATTAAAGGTAAATATGTGTAAATCTACAATTTCTTTATTTAGACATCTCTGTTTCTTATTTCTAACATAAATAAATTAATATGATGATAAGGTAATTAAAGTATTTTACTAAAAAATAACGTTTTCGTCACATCGTTAATGGAATACTACTCATGCTTATATATATAAAATTTTAAACTTTCCCATGAAAATATTACAACAGTTAACTTCCTTAAGATATGAAATATTAAAAAATAATGTTTTTTATAACTGTAGATAATGTCCACTCAAAGCCAAAGTGCCCATACAAACTGAACAATTCCCTTTTTAAACGCACACAGTATATAAACTTTCGCGTTGCATTATATTAGATTATATGAAACGGGTATTAAAGCGAAAGACGCGGGAAATATAGGTAGGTGAAATACTAACTATCAAACTATCGAGTTAATACTCATACAATCTAACAAAGAATATCACATGAATTTAACACTCTATTTACTATACCATACGACTATTGACAACTTTTTGTTTATTATTTATTTAGAAAAACCAAATAGTATTATTTGTTTAGAAAAACCAAATTCGACCCAAAATTGAAATTGGTTATAAACGATATTTTGTAGTTAAGTGTCACATGAAGCATGAATTGTCTCTCTTTGTCTAATTAATAAACCACTTCCCTTTGTCGTGAGCACTAATCTGAAGTCTACTTTTTATCAGTAATGTTATCGTACCTGACAAACTTGCTATCGTAATCAAGATGTCTGCCAATAAATACACTAGTATACACGATTTTTGCACTTGAAATGAAATGTGGTTTTTCTTAACGATTTAGGTGTACTAAGTTTCAAAAAAATAATTTAAAAACGTCCATCACGTCACATTTTAAAAATAATGACTATATTTTATTTCCATTAAAAATTCTAAAAAGAGTACTCAACAAATTTAAAATTAATTGTCTTAGCCTTTTTTATATAGATAAACAATAATCCCTAACATGATTTGGTCCCAGTAACCTTGATAATTTCGTTCAAAATATTTCACATCCTGATGAAAGCGCTCTCCATGTTCATCGCTGACTTTTTAATTTTCAGTTTAACTTATTATTAAAATTTAATCGATTCTAGTGTTTGAGCGTGCTCTTAGAAGGTGATTTCAGAAGCCATAAAATCCGGCGAGTATGTATGAAAAGAGTAACGAAAGTGGATAAGGCGAAAGATTTGTGTAAGGACCGTACATTGTGGCCGTTCTCTCTGCCTATCCCGTCAAGGATACGGCGTGAAGATATAGATAGATAGAATTCACACTTACGAACACTGGATTAGTATAATCCAACTAGCAAGAAATACCGTCTTCAAATGACGCTTTCCCTTCTTTAAAAATAATATTCCTTATTATAAAGTAGTAAATGCACGTTCGGGCTCCGAATCAGAATTCCTGATCAGGAAACCGAACACGAAAAATGAATCTGTACAGCTAGCTTTTATTGTCATAAAAGCTAAATAAGTCAGCACACGGAACAGATATTGCAAAATTTACATTATAATTAATGCTAGAAGAAATAAAAAGGTTGTTTCCAACAGTCTTTATCTCGGATATTAATAAAAACATGAGAATTGATCTCCTTAAAATAACATAAAATCAACAATAACTAGACTATTGTTCGCATTCCCCACAAAGAGATTCGACGTTATCGTACGTGCGAGATGTCGAGCTCCAGGGATTTGCGTCGTCCGGATTTTTCAATTTTTATTTGCGCTTGTAAGTGCTAACGGCGACATTTTTGGGAAGTGAGGTTATGTTAGTAACGCTTTATTCTAGGGGGAGAGTAGTAGGTAAGTACTGTGTTTCCAACGCCGTGTTTTGTCGGTGCTAATGTATTTTTACACGACTGCCTAAAAAAAGAGTCGATTGTAATTTGGGTTATATATTGTATGTGAGTTGTGAAAAACTTTTGGAATAATGAAGCGTATTATTAGAAACGGAAAATTTTAAAAGTCTTTATGACACGATACTCGTGACAATTCTGTTGCACGAATTAGATTAAATATCCTGTCAAACTGCATTTTAAATCCTGCATACAACTAATATAACAAAAACATACTTGTTTTTTTAAATTACCTATTACAACTGATTAAAATAAAAAACAGCCCCAAATCACATTTTTTTAAGTTTAGGGACTGTTAACATAATTAGTATCATTTTTTATCTGTATAGAGAAAAAAAATTGTACCTACATAAAACTAAGCTAATGACTAATAGCCAACAACCATTAATCAAAATAGGGGATTCCAGTTTGCAATATGTGGATTCATACATATATCTTGGTAAAAAAATATATTTTCACAATAATAGCGACATAGATGAAATCAATAGGAGAATTTAATAATGAATAAATATAATCCTAAATGAAATTGAAATTTGTAAGACTGTAAAAAAAAAGAGAATTAATAAAAGGCTTTTTTATTTTATTTATCTGTATATATCTCACTAATGAGCTACATGATTTGTATTTCACTCTCTCATCAGCATTGTGTGTTAACCATCAACTTTGTTTGTTTTGGTCTTGTATTGAAACATAATAAAGCATAAAAATGCAGGTCAATTGTGAGTAGATTCGTAATTAATACCCAATCTAAAAATATTAATAAGGTAACAAAAATATTAAATTGACACTTATTGCGCATTCTCTTATTAATTACTTAATACAATTTTGATAATGAAAGTAATAACATTTTAAAAAAATAATAAATAATTATTACTTATACTTTTTTTGGAGAATCTCGATATTATCAGTAATGTGATTCCTATCAAAGTACTCATCTTTGACGTACGTATGAATAAATAGGTACCTTTTATATTCAACATCTGGCAATTTAACGCTTGTGATAAAAACAATGTCGCAATCTCAAATAAACAACTTGAAGTCAAGGTTAGAATCGAATTACAACTTCAATGTTATTTTGTATCAGTCTACGTTCGAACGTTCGACGCGATGGATTTCTGTGATAAAGTTGTCGTTGTTACTGGCGCGAGTTCTGGCATAGGTGCAGCTACTGCTAAATATTTTGCCAGGGAATCTGCTAATGTAGTCTTAATAGGCAGAAATGAGAACGCCCTCAACGAAATCGCGGCGGAATGTGAAAAGGCTAAAGGTATAAAACCTTTGATCATTAAAGCTGAACTTAGTAATGATGATGAAGTCAAAAACATTGTTACTAAGACTATAGAAGTATTCGGACGTATTGACGTACTTGTAAATAACGCAGGGTACGGAGGTAAAGCAGGTATTCTTGATGGAATCGAACCGTACGATCATATTATGAAAACCAACGTAAGAGCTGTTTATCTTCTCACCAGCTTGTGTACTCCTCATCTTGTAAAGACTAAAGGAAACATAGTAAACGTATCAAGTGTAGCAGCATTCAGACCGATAAAAGATTTACATTTCTTGCCTTACTGTATCTCCAAAGCTGCTTTGGATCAATTCACAAGATGTCTCGCCGTCGAACTGGCAAAATATGGTATTCGTGTGAACTCAGTGAATCCTGGTGCGACTAGAACGAATTTTGTATTAGCTGCTGGCCTAAGCAAGGAAAAGGCAGAGGAATTATACAAAGTCCGTGATAAAGTTATGCCGCTTGGTAAAGTTGCGGAGAGTGAAGATATAGCAGATATGATAGTGTTTTTGGCTAGTAATCGAGCTAGAAGTATTACTGGTGCTATTCATGTTATAGACAATGGTGAAAATTTAGTGTAAACCTAATCAAGCAATCTGTTTGTCCAACTTTCTTCATTTAAGTTACAAATATGTTCATATATTTATCTTACAAAAATATTACGATTAGTATTGAAATTGCAGCTAAACAGTACTATAACTAAATCTTTAAGGTAGATCCATTCTGTTACTTAATAGTTAAATATAAGTAATATAATTTTACGTATTATTAAATATTCATTATATAAACTCAACAGGTTTTTCTTAGCAGACATATTACTTAGGTAGTAGCAAAATCAGTTGTTATTGTGTACATATTTTTTCTTCAACATTTTCCTTGGGAATAAATAAGCTGGACTATATCAGCGCACATGCTACATACAACAATAAGAATGTACGACTTCAAAGGCTGTAGGGGGTTACATAAATAGGTCAGTAAGCTTATCTAATATACTTCGTGTTCTCATGGCCATTAGTCTTCATTTAGCATGCAGTGGCGTTGATAACAAAGCAAAAGTAATGGCAAGCAGCAAATAAGAAGCCCCGTGTTTCTTTAATACACATTTTCATAGGTTTATTTCTTATTGACGATTCAATTGTAACTGGCAAAAAACAAATTATAAAAGATACTTTTTTCTATATTGTATAGAGTAGTTCTACCTACATTATTGCCTTGAACAGTAGTAAACATGTTTCAATAAAGGAAAGTAATACACATTAATAATTATTATTGTTGCATAATGATTTAAATTGATGTCAACTTAGAGCCACATAAAATTCGACGACATGCGCTGTCAGAATGTAGAGATACAATTAAATAAAAACTTCTTGATTAGGAAATAAAGGTTTTATTTCATTGAAGCTCTACACTGTGACAATGCTGAGCCTAAAGTCAATTTGAGACTATTGAAAATAATGTTTGTCTATCTTTCTTATATGGGAAGTTGAAATAGTGTCATATACTTTTTACCGGGTAAAAAACTATTATTAATTTTTGATTACACATGCAAAATCTAAAGTTTTAAATAAAATCGTGTTTATTTAAGAAAATATGCAGTATATATTTGTGACAGATTGCTTAGTCAACAACATAAGGGGCCAAATGAAATTCATGCGATTTTTACGACTTGTTTGAAATGAAAAGCAGTTAATGAATTTGATTTGTTTCTAGATCATTAATAGTCTTTGGAACATTTTCTCGCTTCAGTGGTCCTAATCACAACAATTTGAAACGGAACAGTGATTAAATAAATAACCTTCTGGCGATCAAATAAAAAATCAATGCGCACTAAAAGAAATATTTATTAGCTTCCCAGTTCTAGTAAAGTAGAAATAGACTATGTAAAATCGACGCATTCGAATGAAGTTTTACACTTTAAATAAAGTCAAAGTTAAAAAGATTTTATGAGGTCATGAGGTCACTCATATATATTAATACTAAAGATAAAAATAAATGATTTGACCTTACAATTTAGACTTCATTAAAGCATCGACGTGCCAAAAGGTGTTTTCGAGGGTTGAGTATGGAGCAGTCCCTACTGGACCCTTCCCCAAAAATAAGGGTGCATGGAAGGTGGTTTAGTAGGCCACCAGCGTTTTGACTATACTTTGGACATCTCCGTACAGATTGAGAATCTCACACACCCCTCTGTCACCTGTCAAGTGTCAGGGATAGCTCATAAAGAATTCCCCCTACGACACAAAAAGTGTACCAAAGTTGTGAAATTTATGGGTGACTTGGTATATTTGCTATACCTTTGTTAACATTTTTATACTTGAATTGTTAGTCCAATGACTAATTCAAACTAAACAGTCTCCAACCTCTTTCATCGATATCACCAGATTTTTTATGTGTTTGGTTATTAATCGGTATTAGTGCTACAGTCGACGTCATGTTAGGTAGCCACAAATTTCTTCAGTCAAATACAACCCCTTTTCTGTTGACTGTTAATCTCAATACAAAATGCTTAAAAATCCACTTGGTCCCTGGCACCCTGAGATGGGAATCGAACCCACGACCTTTCGCAATCCAGGCGACTGCTCTAACCGCTGAGCTACCCAGGACCTAACAGGACTGACGAATTTTTCAAGCACTTGTACTTTTCGCTACTACAGAGCGAATTCTCGTCAATGTTCAGGGATCCACCCAAACAGCCGAAAGAAATATTTTTACAAATATTGAAACTTCCGATAAAGATGATATAAATATAAAGATGATGATGAAATCATTTGTGGTTAAAATTGCCTTTTGATTGGCTATTCTCTTTTTTATTTCACAATATAAAGAAGCTTAACGTATATATAAACAATGTTGTTTTTATCCTTAAACGTTTCTTTCGATGCTAGTTATAGATTCAGTTAAGTTTTTTTTGATAATATATTGATTTTAATGAGTGCCATATGATTTACTCTATAGTATAGAATTTAGACACAATAACTTTAGACATTGCCTTGTGTCTTTAGGTGGTTCCTAGTCATTAGCGTAATACATTTTCACCTTAGGCGATTAATAAATATTTAGACGACTACTAAGTTTAGTAAAAACGGACATCAGTCGGTTTAACAGTGACTAAAAAAGTTAGTCACTGTTAGGCGTGCGCGTGATTAATGCGCCTGATGAAGATGAAGCGTAAGAAAAAAGATCAGCAGGACTATCATGTAGCTATCTGTTCATCGTGTTTTAGCTTTCAAACGTCCAATGACTAATCAGAATTCGTCTATCCAATCTTAGACAAATCCTGATTGGTCAAATTGATCAACTAAGGCTTCATAATATTATTTGAAATCCGAAACATGATGTTCGCATAATACCGCGGCAGAGACAGCGGGTTTAACCGGTCACTACACTTCCGTCGCTTTCCTTTGTATTGGATTTACTCAAACTGCACTTAACGCCCAATGATGCATAGTTAGACATAGTGTGTGTTTTGTACATCTCGTTGAATCAAATGCAGTCTATGTTAAATACGATATAGAAAATTAAGTGCCTTATTAGTCAATCCAATATAACAGAAGATATTCATGGATATATTTAAGTTTACACTGTATGTTCACGGTCATCTCTAAAAATTGTAATAATAGGTTCTGGTATCTTTAAAACTGTTTAAATTAAAATAATAAGGTATAAAGTATATCAAGATAAAAAGTATACGCTCACTGTGTTATAAATAAACACGGTTTATCGTTGAAGAAAATTTACACTGAGACTGCATTTAGTATAAGTCAAGATTCATTTTATTAAAGAGAGACTGAGCAAATATTAATCCAGTACGAGATTCTATGGGAGTAATATTTACTCCTAGAAGATAGTAGGTTTGCTTATTCTCAGTATAATATGAATTTGGATTAATACTAAAATTGCAATTTTAGTGTAAATTAACTCTAACGTTAAAGCTTGTTTATTAATAGCACTCTGTAAGTTTATTGAAGCAATTCAAGCGTTACCTAAAGTATAATCTCCGAAGTTTTTAATATAGGTCAACTTCAACCTTTGACTCAGCAGGTGTTTCACCTCACAATAATAACTAAAGCTTTGTTATTATTCTGAGGTTCTAACCACAGTAAAAGAAAGAACTAACGGTGCGTCCTACCATCGACACCTTGTTCCTAATTTCTTGACATTTAAACTTTTCTACGAAACCTTTTTATGTCTCTGATCTGATAAGAAACCAATGCCATGGGCTGTGGGCATTCGTCAAAAGTTCCTTTTTAATGTCAGTTTGCAAAGAGATATTATACTATGTTTTAGTGATAGTAGTAATTAAAAAGTGATAGTAAATAAATAACAACTCGCCCAAACTTCCCGTATACAACTGACCTTGCTTTCATAAACTAACAATGATCTAAATATCTTCCTTTAAATGACTCGTCTGCCCCCTATTCCATATTTTTTTTTATGGAATAGGGGGCAGACGAGCAGACGGATCACCTGATGGTGAGTGATTACCGCCGCCCATGGGCACCTGCAACACCAGAGGAGCTACAAGCGCGCTGCCGGCCTTTGAGGAATGAATATGCTCTACGCTTGATAGTTTGAAGGTCGTATCGGTCCGGAAATGCCGCTGGCGACAAACTGCTCCAGAATTGGAAACGATCCTACCATAGGCTACAAAAACAGATCAGTTTATAAATGAAGCTGATATTACTTATGTGTGTCTCAATTGTATGTAAGTCAAATGAACAATTTAATGATTAATTAAAATATTAGATGTCAACGTTAATTATGTTTAAAACAAGACTGATGATTTGTTTTGAGTTCAATAAAATACAGATATATGTAAAATTTAATTAAAGTTGGTTTAGCAGTTATGGAGTTTATCGTTTATATTAATATCTATGAAGATTTGTTACGATCGTGTAATACTGTTTTGTTTTTCGGCTATTTTTTTTTTATATTTTACATGGCAGATGTATGACGTCGTTTAAAAAATATGAAAAAAATAATATTTCTCAATGAAAAATGCATGGGTTCAGTATAGTATTGTAAATGCAAAATTATTTAAAGAAAATAAATTATATTTCTTCAATTAAAATAGGAAAGGAAAATAATGTAAATCTAACTCAAAGCTATTGATGAGGATATTCGAAAAATATATACTTTTTATACATTAACTTGTCATTTAAAAAATTAATTAATAATATATAATTTAAAAAGAAACAAGTTGTATTATGACTTGTCTGAACAAATTCCCATTGCTATCGCGAGAACTCTTAAATCAGAAATGTGAGAGACAAAACATTGTCCCGACTGCAATGATAATATTATTGATATGTTATTCTATTGTTAAATAATTGAAGCTTACTTCATTCCGAACCTATGACTTCTCTACGACGAGCGTAGCACAGTTATAGCGTTGGCATCACCAGTCTATTTATGTCCCCATTGCTTTGGCTCAGGCCTTCCCTTTTAATGGAATCGAATGTAATAGAGAGAATGAGTCATCACGCACCAGTGCGGATTGGTGGGTATTAACGACTGCAGATGCAGCCGGAGACAAAGACTTAACGTGCCTTTCGAACACGGAGAAGTTCAAGATAGTCAATTTCTGGTCACCTATCCTATACAATGCCTTTACAATGAGATAAGTCAAACTAATCATGATATAGATGTATTCGACGGTAATGGATATTCATTCAAAAATAAAGTAATGTCATTATTTGATTCAACGATTATGTCATCATATTCAGCATTAACTCATACATCAGTATCACGCCGTTATTTTTATTTTGCAAAGTTCAACGTAAAATTAATATCATTAGTTTAAATGCTGCTCTACTTAATCATGCTACAGAAACATATTATTGGGTATAATTGGATTTTGCAAGATGCAATAACAAGCTATGTTTTGTATTAATTACATCCTGTTTTGTATCGTAATAAATGAATTATATATACCGTTATTCTTCTCGAGAAAGCCACAATGACAAATACCCCAAATCAATTTAGCACCTTTCGAACTAGTTTTATTGGTGGAATTAGAGATTAAACACGTGCAGGTTGGTCACTTACTGAGAAATTCAGATAATTTTCTGGACTGGCACAATTTCGGAAACAGATTTTGTATTTTTATCTATGGCTGAGTAGCTGGTATGCTGGTTTCGAGGTGAGCCATCTTTAAGATCTCGGATTCGACTCTCGGTAGAGTCAACATAGACAAAACTTGGAGAAAACCCCGTCCAAGTGCGAGTTGGACTCGCACACGAATGTATCCTTCAAACGAGAAAAAACGTTTGTTGGAGTCTTCCCAGATTTTATTTTATTTTGTTATTTAATATTTGTGTTATAGCAACAGAAAACAGAAATACAGTTTTCTATATTGTCTTGACCTGGGTTTTGTGGTCCCTTTGTTGTTTCAGGTTTTTGTATAAGTACTTCAGCTACTTGATTTGGGATCAAAGAATATTTAATTATCATTGGTATGTTGGTTTTATAATTTTGAAATTATTTTATCCAACATAATTATAACAATTGATTAAATTATTATTAAACATAAATGTGGTAATCTTTTACATATTTTATATTTTCAAAAATTTAATAACACAAGATTATATGTCAGTAAGAAGAGGAAGTGAAATGTTACGAAATTACCAGCTCAGACATCATAAAGTGTTGCGCGGAATAAAGCACTAAGTTTATTTTTATTTCTTCATTAAAGAACCATCACAATTATATAACGTAGTTATATATTCACGTCACATAATGGAAAAAAATAGTTGATTTTAAAAAAACACAATTTTTGAGTAAGTCACCTGTACTGACGTGACTTATCTTTCGTTCTCCAATTCTGATAATAAATTTTATCAGGATCGGCTTACCGAAAAGTGGAATGTTTACAGATATATCATATATAATAGAACCGGCAAGTAAAAGCGGTATGGATAGAAGTATCATAAATAGTATCATATTACAATTCATAATATTATCAACGTTTCAAGTTAGCAGACGTCGCGCAACAAAAGTCGCGAAGTTTACACATGGATTTTTTTAACATGCAACATTTTATTCAGTTGGTTGCTCTAACGGGC